GTTACAAAAATGGCAATTAGACTTCCTTAATTCAAAATGACCCTCCTGGAGGAAAAGAAAAAAAAAAAAAGTATGTGACAATCTAAGAGACAGGGTTCTGCCTTAAAATGTTCTTTGCTACTGGTATTTCTTTATAATGCAGAAGTATGTTCAGGTGTTGATCCTCAAAGCAGGAAAACCAGATGCCCTGCAAGTGAAAGTGAATTACCTCCAAAGTAAGTGTACAATCTAAAGCTAATCTTGTCAAGTGAGAAAAACCCAACTAGCATATGGAAAAGAGCTCTCTATTCCTTAAGAAGATCACATAATTATAATGAAATAATTTATATTTTTATCATGCTTTTCTTCCAGTAAATGCTTTACTAGTGGTAGTCTGCCTCAAGTGGTGGGCATTCTGTCCACCTCAGAAAAGCGTGCAAAGATACTGTCTTTTAGGAAGGTATAGCAGCTGGTAGAAATTTTATGTAGGGCGGAGTTTAATTCCTGAAGTAAGAATTAGACTAAAATAATAGGACTAAATTATTCTACCCCCTAAATTTCTCATCCTTTAGGATATTGTTATGGAACTTTAACAATTATCAAGTATCCCTGACCTCAGTTTGATGCTAAAAAGTATACTAGGTAGTAGTAATTTTGAAAGCTATTTGCTTTTTTGTTTGTTGTAACTCAGATTAGTAACAATGAACATAGGTTTGCTGTATTGATATTTCCAAAACTATTGTGAATGAATATAAGCCAATATTTTTATAATAATTTGTTTTTTCAGATTATAAAGATAATACATGTCCTTTATAGTATTTTGAAAAGTAGCAGTAATGAATTAATTAGAAAACAAAAATCACATGTAATCTCATTTCCTAAAGATATATACTGTTAACATTTTGATGTGTTTATATATATTCAAATTTAATGTATTTCCTTATGTTCTTTTTTCTATGATTACACTTGAATTTTAGAATAATTTACTTATCTGCTTCTGGTGTAATTTCTTTTCAGATTTAGTACATGGAGTAAGGGTCATATTGCACTTTATAATGAAAAGGCATTTCTAGGTTGTTGGAAAGGGCTTTCTAAAGAACTCACCTTTGGGGAACTACAATTCCTGTTAGAAAGTGGTCCTTCTGGCATTATTTCACTTCCTAATATGCCCAGGATGTAAGATGAATATCACTGAACAGATCCTTCACTCCAAGAGGGTGAATAGATTCTAACTCTGTATCAAATTGATGGACAGCAGGTGCCTAGAACTCATGTTGAAACATGACTGGGCTTTGCAGAAAAGAGTCACAGCTGCCTGGGGGATGTCTGCCATGAATGTGATGCTTAAGAGGGGGTGGGGACTGTGGGCAGTGGGAGCATCAGTACAGAGGTGTCACAGACTCTTTACTCCCAAAGGTGACTTTTTTAGATGTGCTAAAATTCAGTACTTCACTTGAGTATAGAGATGGGAGTGATCGTAATCTCCAGTCTTTCGCTTTGGTTCTGATCTGCAAACTGGCTACTAAACAACTGGAGCAATAACTTACTTGGCCAGCAATCAGCTACTATGCAAACAGCGATGTCTGTCTTGTATATGAACACTTAACATGAGAGATGAGACTGAGCATGTCACACTGACCTTCAAACAATCTTAAACGAATTAAATGAACTTTCAGAGAGATCTAAAAATGTAGACGTACCTCCTATTTCATTTTCTTTATTTTACTGCAGTTTTAAGTTCAATTAGAATGGTTATCAGAGCACTTAAATTCTATATAGATAAAAAAGGAAAATTTCCTTCTACTGCTCTAGGAGACTGTTGATATTAACTTAGAATTATGTTTGATTTAAGCCTTTGAGATGGCATCTCATAGACTAAATAAATGAAAAATCTAAAGCAAATTCTCTTCCCTTCAATACATGTTTTCGTTATTTTTCTCTGCTACAGGTTACAGAATCAGAGAGTGCACCAACCCCAACCATGGGCGGTGGAGGCAGAGACTACTCCAGGGTCCTCGAGAAATGAGCCAGCAGAAGAATCAAAGTTCAGAACTTCAGCACAGCAGGAAATGAATGGTAGTATGCATACCTTCTCTCCTGGAGGCAATCCCGGGGAAAGCCCACTTCTAGATCTTCCATCCCATCTGGGGCCTAAGAGATCAACAAATAGAAAACATTCATCTGAGCACAAAAATAGCAGAGATGACAGTTTGGACTGGTTTGACTTCATGGCAACTCAGCAGATTGAACCTAAAAACTCTGTTCTTGTGTCTCCTGGTTCCAAAATAACTGGGGAAAATATGTTGAAAGTGTCTAACAACAAATCTCAGGGTAAAGAAAAGAGTGAGCCAGGCCAAAGGAGCAAATTGGAAGCTGGGAAGCTTCCATCACCGGGAGACACAGATGCTTCATTGAGGCCAGATGATATTGAAGGGAAAAAGACAAAAAGGGTAGCACTAGTTTCTGAAGCAACAGTCCCTCCCAATGAATCAGACTCGGTGCTGACTCATGTCCCTAGGAGACTGCACAAGCTGTGCAAGGAAAGGGCCCAGAAGTTGTGCAGAAATACCACCAGGGCACCTTCACAGCCGCCCGCCTTGCCTCCTCATCCTCAGTCCATTTCTGTACATAGCCCAAAAAGAACACTGGAAACTCTCAAGAGAAAGAGACTGAAATCCTTTGCTCAGGCTGAAGACTCTGAACTTAACAGTGTTGAGACTCCAGGTTCCCCTTTGGCCAAACTGGCAAAATTCACTTTCAAACAGAAGTCAAAACTGATCCACACTCCTGAAGACCACAGCCATGTGTCTCCAGGAACAACTAAAATAGCAGTTCATAGTCCTAAAATTTCCCAACATAGAACAAAAAGAGAAGCAGCTCTGCCTGAGAAGTGTCCAGAAAAGTTAACCTCTACCTCAGGAAACAGAAGCTCAGATCAGCTGCAGGGTAAGACAGAGGAGGTGTCACGGCACCCACCAGAGAAAAATGGATCAAGAGAGAAGAGGGAATGTGCCCCTGAAAAGAGAGTTATTCAGCCTAAATTAGACCTTGGTAACAAGACTGGGCATTCTCATCTTGCTTGTGAGAAAGACAAAAAGGAAGAGATTTCATGCAATAATAAAAGCACCAGGGTTCATACTTGCACTTTAGCCAAATTGGCAAACTTCTCCTTTACCTCCCCATCGGAATCCAAATCAGAATCCCCTCCTCCTCCTGAAAGAAAGAACCAGGATGAGAGAGGCCCAAGCCCCGCTTCTACAACCGCAGCTACAGTGCTTGGCAGTAAAAGGAAATCTTTTCAGTTGCCAGGGTCCACCGAGAAACTGATTCTTTCCAAAAAATCTCTCTTCACTTTACCAGAACTAGATGATGAAGCATTAGATTTTGACTGGGATGAAGAGATAAGAAAAAAGCCATAATTATGAAAAGTTTTCTGGCAAAATTTCACTTGCCGCAACTCAACACAATACTTTCAGGGTATCAGCGTGTTATTCATAAATGTGCAGAAATTGTTGGCCATATTGAGCACCATCCTGAATACCCGCTCCTCTATCAGGTTTTATAATTTCAGGTTAACTTCATGACTTAAAAAGTTGTACAGTCAATTTATGTCAGTGTCATACCAGCACTTCATTCAAAGTAATTGATGTTGTGCTTAATTTTGTAAATGGAGTACTTGTATTCCCAAAGATGTTTCTGGTTTTTTGGGTTTTATTTAAGGGGGAGGGGTCTTCCCTAAATCCGTTCTTTAATTGACTCAGGAACAAATGCTGGGACGGTAGAACTCATAAATCTAATAAGGCAGATTAGGTATTTTCTATTTTTTCTTTTGTATTTTCACCTAGGATGTGCTAAGTATAATGAATATTTCTTATAATTTGTGATGATTTGCCAAAATCATGTGATTTTTCTAATGTTATTTTTGTGTTTATTCTCATGCATCAAATTAAATGTGGTTAATACTTTTCTTTCTTTGAGTTGTATCCTACAATTCCATGGGATTCTTAGAAATCTGGTAATAAGTCAAATAGCAGCTTTCTGAAGTACTGGGAGTTTTCTTTTCTGAACCAATAGTTTGTGCTTCAGATTTTTTTTTCTGAGGGTCCTGCCTTCAACACAACTTAAATCCTGTGGGGAGAAGAAGAGAGTGTGTGCAGTAGTCTCAGTCACACATGTCTTAGCTACCCAGGTGGTTAATATGGAAGTGTGATTCCTGCTAAGTTATGATTCATTTGTCTTTAAAACCAAGCAAATTACTGTATTTGACAGGAATAGATAACTCAAGCTCTTTCTGCGCGTTTTTAAAAATCACTTCTTCCTTGGGATTCTAGCAGTGGTTGTTAGCATTCCATAATTACAGCCTTTCTCTTCTGAAGTATGAACTTGTAACATAATTATTAATAGAGTCTTTAATTGTCTGAGAGACAATTTAAAACTGAATATAAATTTAGTATGGATTAGTCTTTTGAAGTCTTGAAACACCTTTAAATAGTTGATAAAAGATACACATAAGCAGTGATTATAAAATTTATGATTGCATATTCATTTGAACCTATTCTAAAACATCAAGACTATTATTTAAGTAATTTATTATGTCTTTACTTGTTTAATAACTTCCCAGTATGGTATTATTCTTAATTGGATACATTGCTAATCTTTCAGTATTATTGCTTGCCTGAGTTTCAATAGTCATACTAGAACTAAAGGAAAAAGAGAGATCTGGGTTTTTTACAGTTGAATCTTGGTCTGGATATGGTCTGATTGTATAGACAAGGGTAATTCAAATCTGAGCCACAGTGTGGATGTGACTCTTTTTTTAATGATAAACTTTTAAGTCCCTTTCTTATGAGTTTTTGTCTTTGAAACATGATATCTTTTGTAGTAATGATGTGTTAGGCTTTGCATGGCTGACAATACTTAACTCATTGGCTTGTCATTAGGGTATTTTGATCTGTTCTGTTATCATTATTTAAAATGTTTGTATTCTTTATTGGGAAACTTGATTCTAGAGGTTTCATTTCTTTTTTTTTTTTTTTTTTTTTTTTTGTTATAATTTGATTTTAATAACAATCTCAAGGGAAAGCCGTAACCTTCTCCATGTGAACCTTAACTCAAAACAGAAATCCTCTGTGTTTGGCCCAGCTACCATAGACATCTCTTGCCCCAGAGGTCCAGTGTATTTTTCCCCCCTGGTTCTTCTCCTGACTCCCTGGCACTGCACCAGCCTCGAATCTATACAGGATGCTCTCTACTGAGTACTGCCTTGAGTTACTTCTCCCTTTCATGTTCTAGCTGATGCTACTTATGATCACAGTATCATGGAGGAGGAAGGTGTATGCTGGAGGTAGAATATGCCACCACATCATTTTTGTTAAAAAACTATTAGGCCTTGGTCCCCTTCAGTTTTTCCCCTTACATCCAAATTTTGACACCACTGGCCTCTAGCAATCTGTAACAGGCATGAGTTCAAGGTGTCATATGCTTCTCTGGTGCCTGTTTGTGAGCCAAGTAAAGGAATAGTATGCTGGAGAGAGCGCTGACCAGGAAGATCACATCAAACCAACGGTGGTAAAAGTTGAACTGCAGTTCTCCAAGGACTTCAGTGATTATGGTGCGGTACTCTAGAGGCATACTCATTCGGATCAGTAGCACAGAGGAGACGAAGTACATGCCCATTATCTGTGCTAATAGCAGGACAATGACATTGGAGGACTTACTGCTGGAGATGGCATAAAAGAACTTGGTAAGAGTGATCAGCAATCCTCTGATGGATGTGACGATGATTATTCCAACCAGAATGAAGGAAATGTGTTGGGACCAGAACTTCACATCAAATTGAATTCCCAGATAATTCACAGTGATCTCAATGCCTCTTGTGACAGGATCAGTTTTCCCAACTCGATCAAAAACAATATTGATGGTTGCCATAAAAATTTTCCAAACACAGTAAATAGAGAAAAAGTAACCGAGAAAATTAAAATATTTCCCTTTGAAAGTTTTTGAGTATTCTATTCTCTCCTTGGTAGCATATAGATCAGCTGTTTCCAGAAAAAGCTGCCTGCTTAGTTCTTCCAAAGCATCCACTTCCTGTTGAATAACAGTAAGATTTTCACTTCCTGGTGCTGAAGTGGTAACACTCTTTATTATTCCCCAGAATCCTGATGGTTTGTTATGCACCTCCCCCTTCTGGAACATATTTCTCCGTGCCATTGCCATTCTTTTCTTTTTGCTTATGATCATATCCATAGTTTGGAGCAGTCGCCGTTCCAGGGCTAGAATGTCTGTGTCAGTCACATTCCTGAGGAAGTAGGACATGTACGTGTATGGGCAGTTGACAGCACCGAATCCAGAAAGGAGAGCCATGAGTGTCACCCCAATCACACCTACCCGGCTGATGAGCTGTTCTATGGATAAGATCCCATGTTTTGGGCTGAGAATGGGAAAAGGATCTCTATGGATAAGATCCCATGTTTTGGGCTGAGAATGGGAAAAGGATCTCATAGTCGGATATTGCTCACGATAAAATAGCCAATGTAAAAAGGCACCATGAAAACCAGGATCAGCAGAATTACACACAGGTTCATTTTCCAGTGAAAATAACGGGAGCTGCTATTCAACACTCCTAATATTTCAAAGATGATGAGCTCAAACATGGTGCAAGAAAACGCAAAAGTCACAGAGAAAATCACCTGTACAACGTACTGACGCACCTCATAGTCCTTAAACAATTGGCGCATGAAGAAAAGCCATCCAAATCCAAAAAAAAGTATCTGGGAGGTAATCATGATGCTGGAGTCTATCAGGAAACTCATGGCGAAGTATGGGGAGGGCTCCTTCCTCCACTCCCCAAGGCCACAGCCCGCTCGGGCCACCAGTCCCCTCACGCAGGCGGCCTTCGCCCAGGTGCCGCGGCCTGGAGCACTGCGGAGCAGTCCGACGCCATCAAGCTGCGCCCCAGCCAGCCAATCAGGGCTAGAGGTTTCATTTCTTAACAACGAGAGATTTAATTTTTGTAGATAACTTGTCTCTTCAGGACTTCAAGTAATTTGTATCTTTTTTTTCTAATTCTGATTTTTTAAAAATAGGTTATTCATATTCATGGGGCATAGAGCTGACCCTCAGCACCGGTACCCAAGATGTGATGATCAGATCAATACTATCGACATCCCCACTACCACAATTACAGTTATTCCCTATGTCTCCTACCACTCCTCCCTCTCCCTCCCTCCAACCCCAGCAACCCTAGGTGTGCTCTCTCCCTCTGCAAGTCCAATGTACGTACCACTGTGGTCTTTCTTTCCTTCTTTCTCTCTTAACTCCCACTTACGATTGGGAACATGCACTATTATCCCATCTGTGCCTGGCTTACTTCACTTAACATAATTTTCTCCAAGCTCATCCATGTTGCAGCAAATGGCAGAATTTCATTCCTTTTTATGTCTGAGTAGTATTCCATTGTGTACATATACCACATTTTCCTTATCCATTTGTCCATCCATGAACATTTAGGTTGGTTCCATATCTCAGCTATTGTAAATTGAGCTATGATGAACATAGAAGTGCAGGTATACTGTCAACTTGATGATTTCAATTCCTTTGGGAATATACCCAGACATGGGATTGCTGGATTATATGGTATATCTGTAACTGCTTGAGAAAACTCCATACTGTTTTCCATAGTGGCTGTACTAATTTACAGTCCCATTAACAGCAAACAAGAGTTTGCCTTTCTCCACATCCTCACCATCATTTGTTATTCTCAGTCTTTTTGATTATAGCCAGTCTAACTGGGGGGGCAATGATATTTCAATGCAGTTTTAATTTGCATTTCCCAGATGATTAGTGATGTTGAGCATTTTTCAAGTACCTTTTGGTCCTTTGTATGTCTTCTTTCAAAAAGTGTCTCTATTTAGTTTCTTTGCCCATTTTTAATTGGATTATTTGTTTGGTTTTTTTTTTGGCCACAAAACAAGTCTTAAAACAGTTAACAAGACTAAGATCATAGAAAATATGTACTCTGATTACAATAACAGAAGGAAATTTAGAAAATTCATAAATGTGTGGAAATTAAACAGCATTCTTCTAAGTAAACAATGGGTAAAAAGAAAAATCACATGGGAATTAGAGAGCACTTCGAGATAAAAATCAAAGTACAACATATCAAAATTTATAGGATGCAGAGCTCATGCAGTGCTTAGAGGAAAATTTATACTTGTAAACACCTATATTAGAAATAAGAAAAATCTTAAATCAGTAATGTAAACTTCTACTATAAGAAAATAGGAAAAGAAGAGCAAACAACCAAAAGCAAATATAAGTATAAAATAACAAAGGTTACAACAGAAATATATGAAATAGGGAATTAAAAAGCAACAGAGAAATCAACAAAACTAAAAGTTGATTCTTTAAAAAGATAACAAAATTTGCAAAACTTTAGATTGATCAAGAAAAAAAAGAGAGAAGACTGAAATTGCTAAAATCAGAAATAAAGCAGGAGCATTATTACATTGTCTGTGGATGGAAAGATTTAGTTTCTTTCTCTTTCTTGTTTGCATTTTTGTCCTACCAGTGGGTTTTGTTCGTTCTTATGTATTCGTGGTAATGATTATCATTTCTCAGATTCCAGATGCAGGACTTCTGTGAGGATTTCTTGTAGGGCTGTTCGTGTGGTGGGGAACTCCCACAGTTTTTGTTTGTCTGGAAAACATACTATTTTCCCCTCATTTCTGAAGGATGGTCTTACTAGGTACAGTATTCTTGGCTGGCAGTTTTTTTCTTTTAGTATTTTGAATATATCATCCCATTTTCTTCTGGCCTGTAGAGTTTTTGTGGAGAAGTCTGCTGTTAGTCTGGTAAGGTCTCCCTTATAGGTGACTTGATGCTTTTCTCTTACTTCTTTTAAGATTCTCTCTTGTCTTTGAGCTTTGCCAGTTTAACTATAATGTGTCTTGGAGAGACTTTTTCTGGGTTGAATCTATTTGGAGATCTTTGAGCCTCCTGAATCTGAAGGTCTGTGTCTCTCTCTATGTCTGAGAAGTTTTCCATTATCATTTTGTTCAACAGGTTTGTTATGCCTTTTCTTTTCTCTTCCCTTTCTGAAACACCCATGATTCAAATGTTTGTGCACTTAAGGTTGTCTGTTAGCTCTCTTAGATTTTCTTCATTTTTAAAAAATTTTTTTACTTTTTTTTATTGTCCTCCTGAGTTATTTTGAAAAGACTGTCTTCAAGATCAGAAATTCTTTCTTCTGCTTGTTCTAACCTGCTGTTAAAGCTCTCAGTTCTGTTTTTTATTTTGTTGAGTGAATCAGTTCCATGAGTTCTACTACATTCTTTTTTAAGGTATTAATCTCTTTGTAAACTCCCTTCTTCATATCCTGGATTTTTTTTTTTTTTTTTTCTCATTTCATTATGTTGTCTGAGTCTTCTTGTATCTCAACAAGTTTCCTTAAGATTGTTGCTTGCAATTCCTTTTCAGTCATTTCAAGGGTTTCCTGCTCTATAGGGTCTGGTATTTAAGAATTACTGTATTGTTTTGGTGGTTTCATATTTTCTTGGGTTTTCATATTTCTAGTATCTCTACATTGATGTCTGGTCATCTGGTAGAGCAGTTGCTTCTTCTATTACTCTGGAATAGGTTTTGAGGAGAGAGACGTCCTCTTCTTTTTCCAGTCTCTGCTGGTGACTCTCCTTGTGTCAGTGCAGTCAAAGTGTCTGGCGGGCGCTTGTACTGTAGCTGTGGTTACTGCGGAGATGTCAAGCCACTTTTACAGCAGCTGTGGCTGTGGCAGTGGCTGTGGTGGGTGACCCATGTGGAAGTGGTGTTTTTGGCATGCTCCTTGCCTGCTTCTGGGTGGGGAATGCTGCCCTTGACTCTCACCTAGGACCCCAGGCACACACTGCTTCCTGCCTTCTTATGAGTTGAGGGGGCTTCCCTTGGCTCATATTTTAAAATAACAGTGTTGAATTTTCTCTCTTTCTTGGTTATTGTTTATGCCTAGGCCACCTTCTACCTGGTTATTATCTGTGCCCACCATACATCCTATTTGTGCTAATCAATTTATACTATTTTTGATTTTGTTACCTTCTGCTAGGATCATTTGGCCAAATGATAAGTTCTATGTGTTTATTCTTTGGTACTTACCCAGATGGAAATAACTACATATCTAAATATTATAAACAGATACAATTATTAGAAGAAATAAAATACTCAGTAAAACACTCCCCTACTTATTAAAAAAATTAAACTTCTATCACAGCTGCTTTTGTGTTATGACTACTTCACTGTGATTGGATTTGAAGCTTAGAAGTCTGACAGCTTGGTCAATGGGAATTCCCTTTATGTTGACTCCATTGTTCTTTTAGCATGCCAATATTTCTAAAAGCATCCATGCTATCTGAAAACAACAGGATATTCCAGATCATTTTTTCTTTCCCAAGTCGTAGAATCAGCTATCCCCAAGGTACTTTACTTCCTGGTCAGTGGTATCAGAGACCAAACTCTGGGTCTCAGAGATGCACAGGAGAGTCACTAGTGGGAAAACATTCTACCACAGTTGTTAGGTCATGTTTAGTAGTTTCAGAGCTGGAAAATGTTTTAATGTCCTTTTTATTCTGCTGTGTCCTACTTTTCTTAGATATGGGATTCCACAAGAGCTAAAACTTTCTCTTATATAGTCTGTAGTGCGTATACCAAGGAAGCACATAGGTGTCTTGGGAAATATGTACAGTCTAAAACATCATATTCTGGTCAATAAAGTGTAAAAAAAATAGCCTTTAATTCTGAATCAACTTGCCAAAATATTTTTATTTCAGGCCAGTGGATTGAAATGTAAAATAATTTAAACATACTAAAAGCTGTACTTAACTTTCTTTGTGAGAGGACCAAACCAGAATTTAAATTCTGTTGTAACTATGTAAAAAAATTGAATTTTCTGATACTATGAAAGAGTAATCTTCAGTGTGTTTTTATATAGTATTCTAAAATCTATAGAGGAGATTTTATTATTGTAATTTTCAGCATCCTATAGAAATACAGGTAAAACAAGCATATTATTCTGATATCTTTAACTCTTTGGCTTAATTTGACAACGTTTCAAACTTTACACCAAAACTTAAGCTATAAGTACTAAACAATAAAGACCCATTTTTGGTTGACACATTTTCATTCTAACAAACGTTTACATTCTTTATGAGCATTTGATTTCTGTCCCTTTCTGAAGTTCTAAACCTGCCTAACTGGTGGATTTACTGGAAGACCAATGCTAGAAAAAAACCTGTCAGCCACAGGAGGATCCCTGGAGCTTACTTTTAGCCAATCCACAATATTTAGGAATTCAAAACCAACCTAGCCTGGAAATCTAGGTCACTAGGGACTGTGGGACCAGGTGACCCTTTCAGGTACACCCTATCAAGCAATCTAGTTCCAAACCCAACACCCTCACAGAGTGGGAGGCAAAGCCACTGCATATTCCTCATTGTTCAGAATAACATCTTTCAAGTCTGCTTTCCATATTGTTAACATTCAAGAAAGATAAAAGGCTTCTGGCTTACATTAGTCCTCACTTCATTTGGGGTTTTTTGGGGAGCCATTACCTACACATATCCTGTTCACTGTAGCTCAGAGGACATACACAGGAAGTGCTGGTAACTGCTCTTATGATGCACACTCTTCAGTTCTTATATCAATTCCACTGTCACCCTCTTTCTTAAAGGCTTAAAAATGCATCAGCAGGTAATATTTATAAAAGTGAACTTGACAACTGTTAAACTAGACTTAAAATTGTTGATGTGTCTATGTGATACTCTGGTGG